ACCATGTTGTCTGTGATGCGTGCCTCGGCAAATATCACGACGATAGCGTTGCCAATGGATACGGTCAACAGCCATCCCGCCATGATGCAAGATTTCATGCTTAAAGGAGACTGAAAAACAAAATTATATCATAGATTACCCAAGAGATTCAATCTGTACTGAAGTCCTGGTCTTCTAACATGTCGACAAGAAATGAATGCAAGAAATGGGAATAGGCGTGGGTAGAAAGGGAAGGGAAAGCATGGTGTGTAGCATGCTGAAGACCTAGTCTTCTAACAAGTCGGGTCAAGCCTATAAACAGGGGTTCAAAGACATTGGAATGTAAGGAATGGAAATGGGGAGGGGGGGGGGGGATGGTGTACAGCATAGGTTGTCTACGCTGCTAAGGTGTCGTCATCTCAGTGACCAATTCAAGGCTTTGGTAAAAGGGGTCCGTGGTTCGACCTCCTCCTAGGATGTGAGTTGAGTTTGTTTGATGCGTTGTTCTCCTTCCGTAAAAGCCAATCTTATTCGATCTCCGAAGCAGAGGATCGMATGTTAAATAACTCTTTGTGGTTAACAAGTCTTTACCCTCGTTGAGTCGAGTTTGTTTGATGTGTTGTTCTCCATCAGTAAAAATCGAAAATTATGAAATTCCATTTCAGAATCAGAGGATCGCATGTAACTTAACCTTCTAAAAATAACGACTATTCAAAGAAAAGAATGTGATTGGAAGGCGAGGCAAGGGAAGGGAAGTGAATGGAAGTGACGAAGAGAGAGGGAACGAAGAAGTGGCAGAGAAAATAGAGACTGCAAGTTAAGGCACCTGAAATATTCAACCGAAGTTCAAATACCTGAGAATAGGCAAACTCGAGGCCTGTGATAGAAAACAGTACCTCCCCACTTGTCAATGTGAGGTACTGTGGTACCTGCCACAACATGGATATGCTCATAGGTCGAATATCAGTGTACTGGGTCATCTCCAGCTGAAAACAACCAAAACACAAATGATTTGGTTTGTCAATAATAATAACAATAATAAAAGAGTGGCTAAAGCCACGTTTGAAATTATGAAGGCAATAGACAAAAACT